ATGCTCAATAGCCTCTCTCGCTGCCAATACAACTACAAAGATCCGTGCGGCAGGGGGATCCCATCGCGCCCTTGCTGTTTGTGATTGTAATGGAAGCCTTGGTCTCACTAATCATAGCTCACTCTGAGATCGTCAAGGTTCCCATCCCGGAAATCCCCCAACATCGGGTCCCAGTAATATCGCTGTTCGCATTTGACCTCACGGTCCTCATTAGTGCAGACTCGGACAGGCTCAAAGCCGTCACCCAGGTGATATACCGATTCTCGTTGGCAGTAGACATGAAAGTGAATTGGGGCTCTAAAACAGAGGGGTGGTGGTTCCATCCAGAAACACTTCCCCCTCCTCGTGAACCGAGGGTCGCATGGGCCCAGAGGGAAGATGTCGTAAGGATTATAAGGGTGAGACTCACGGCAGTAGGCTCGCCGCCGGACCATGGCGACATGCTAGTCGATACATACCTCACTGGTAGGGTGTGCGCTAGCAATTAATTTGCTATCCTTTTTTTTTTTTTTTTTTTTTGGGGACAAATGCTCCAAATGCTCCAGTCTATTCGTGGGGAGCAGCACGTGCTGGGAACCGGGCCCAGCGTCCCATATAGAGTTACACAAGTCATTAGAGATACCGGGGCCATTACCCGACTTCGGCTGAGAATCAATCTGAGAACTATTGAGAACTATTGAAGAAATTCAAAAAAGTTCAAGAGAATTAAACATTTATAAAAACTTGGGTAATGCTATTCTAGCAGCCATCTGGTACGAATTAGCAGTGTGGCTGCTAAAAAAGCAGCAGAGCACCAGGCTGAGAAAGACGCTCTTAAAATACATGTGGAAGAACAGCGCCAAAGCTCAATGCTGTGTGAACCGGGTGAGTTGGGATGTCCTCACACAACCAACAACCAAAGGGGGACTAGGGATATTAGACCCAGAAAGAGAAAGTGAGGCCCTGATCTTTAAAGTCCTGATCAAATTGCTGATAGGCAATGACATACCATGGGGCCCATTGGTCGGCCTGCAAATAGCCAACCTGCCCTTGGAGTCTACAACAGACAGTCAAGTTCACCCCTTCCAATGGTTAACTAATAAATACTGGACAATCCCCTCCCCCCCACAACATAGACAGGGGTACACCCCAGCCCAAGAAGCCAGAATTGACATAAACAACGACCCGTTGTGGCCCTATGTGATCAAGCTCTAGAGACGATGCGGACCACAACAAAAACAACCTCCCACCAGGTGGCAGGATGTGCGGCGCTAACCTCGTTTCAGAAACCCTTACATTCTCGACGAGGAGGGCACCCCCTTTAAGCTACCGGCAAACTCTCCTTGGCTCACATGGGCCAAGAAAGGGGTTTTCACGAGGACCTGTGGGACCTGACAAGAGCCAACTGGGCCACGACAAACCAGCTACAACGAAACAGAAACATGCCTAGAACGTGGAAGACAAAATGCTCCAATTGAGGGAAGCACTCCCCCTGGCTTGGAGATGGGTCCTCGCAAAGGGCCCTGCAGTACTGCCGAATGACTGGGTAATAAGATATCAGATATGCCCCTCCCGCGCATCGTATACAAAGTCAGACGGAATGATGAATAGCGCCCACGAACCTCAGGCGCTGGGGGCCAGGTTCTCCAAACTGACAAGGAATGACGATCTGGATGCAACTGAAATGTGGGGAGGGCTAATGCTCATTAGAGTGGTAGGAGATGCAGACAACGACTTCTTTGTGTATGAGCCCGCAATCCTGATTGCTAGGCTGCCGTTTGATCTGGCTGAATGGGAATGACCTGGCACAAAATCCATGCACATGTGGGAGTACACTGTGAAAGGGGCCTATGGAGCCTCAAGACTGGATCTGCAAATTGATCAAGCGATATCAGAAAGAAGGGCACGAGACTCGCCGATGGACCAGAAGATACTTGACCACCTACCATGGCCCAAATATGCTATGATTTGCAGTTGACTTGTTATATTTGGCATGAATGGTCTGGATGCGACTGGCCGACATGAATGAAAGCTCCATAGGCAAATGAAGCAGCCAGGAACGAGGGTCTGATTGGTCACGTACAGGCCGTGTGTACCATGGATGACATGGGGTCCTTGACGGTCGATGTCATGGGATAGGATCGGATACACACACACACCCAGGGAGAAAGCGACTTGATTACCTCCCCGTCATCAGAAACTAAAACAGAGAGAACAACAAATGCGAATTCTCAAACTCAGTGATTTACCACATAAGTTGATGGAGGTAACTTAGGTTAGAGAGAGGAAGTGAGCATCCATTGATGCCGAACATTCAGAACATGGCCCAGCTCACTTCCCCTCTCTTACCTGAGTTACCTCCATCAACTTATGTGGTCATGGATGTCGGCCCAGCTCGGCATGGCGATCCGACATCCATGATCTTTGAATCAATCAGGCAAAGAAGAGGGGCAAATTAACGCGGGCCGACTACAAAAGAGAGAAAGAAAGGAAGCGAGGCTTACAATTAGGAAAGGTAAGAAAAGGACGGGGAGAGGCAGATGCCCTAGAGGATTAGTGGGGCAAGGCGAGCACAAGAAGAAGCAGGGGAGATGCACGCACGAGCAAATGGAATTCAAGAACATGTGCAAAGGGGGCAATGGACAAATGTCAGGCGAACCGGCGGAAGAAAACTTGCAGTGCCTCTTGTTCCTGCCTCCTTCCCCCGAATACAATGTACAGTCATTATAGCTGTATTTAGACTGAAAGATACCCTGAATACAGCTATAATGATCGTACGTTGTATTCGGGGGAGGAAGGTAGTGCATGACTCAGCGCAGCGAATCATCCCAATTCAAAATTTCGCACACTCTCTGTAGCATGCTGAGGCCACTACACGGCCCTGTTTGAGGACTAGAACTGGGCCAAGCACAAACAGACAAATGCCTGGTCCAGTCCCAGATACGGACAAATCTGAACCTGGCCTACAATGGCCGAAACTGAAAAGGAGAAGTCCAAACCGACACATCTGAAACAGACAAGAATAGTCCAGACAAAACCCAGCAAACGTAATAAATGCTGAATAAAGGAGAGCACACATGGAACCAAGTGTCTGCCTGGCCTGGAAAAATGTCCGTGGGCCTCCAGGTCGCTCACCAAAAATGGGTGCAAGGCCTGGGGGCCTGGAACAACCGTCAGGCATTCACAGGGTTGCCTGGACGTCCGGTAGGGACCCAGGCAGGCCATTTTTGGCCAGGATTGAAGGATCAGGACTTGGGCCTGCCATCAGGACCATCGATTGGACATCAGATCGGGCGGTCCTGATTGCAGACCGAGGATTGCTCAGCCAGGCCCGACAGTATATAGCGGGGCCAGTCCTCCACTTTGAGGACATTCTGGCTGCCTCAATTGGGCATCACGCTGCTCGAGCAGCACCAGTTTGGGGAGAGCTGCGATAGAGCAGCTTTAGAGGAGTAGAGGAGTAGGCTGGAGTGGAGAGGTTTGGCGGAGGCCATGTCCAGGGGAGAGAGAGAGAGAGAGAGAGAGAGAGAGAGAGAGAGAGAGAGAGAGAGAGAGAGAGAGAGAGAGA